TTAGCCTTTCTGTGCCTCAAATTCCTCACCTGAAAAATGGGTATAATCAAAGTGTCTGATAGGATGGTTTTGACAATTAAATGAAATAATACTTGTAAGCGTTGAGATCAGTGGTAACCACGTAGTCTTCTGGCTAATGTCATTTGTAACCCATCTCCTTCTCTTGCTGCCTTTACCCTTTAACTGCTGTCAGAGGAAGGCAGAGGGTTGAGCTGAACACAGTAAAATGCACGCTTAGCAAAAATGTTTGATCCGCAGAGTGCAGGTGGAGATTTCACTTCGATGCTAAGATTTTGGCTCTCTTTTGTGAAGGTCAGTATAATTTTATTCGTGATCAGGTTGCTCCCAAAATATCTCTTGGGTTGTATTAACTGAAAAGGAAAAAAGTAAGGTTTTTATTTTTATTTTTTTTGGTCTTTTGCTTGTTTTATGACTTAATATGCTCAAGTGGCATTGAATTCATTGAGATAATCCGAGGTACACAGAGGCTGTGACATGATCCACCCTCACTGGAGTCAAGGATGATTGGGGGAGGGGGGTGGGAAGGGGTTGGCCCAGGCGAATACACAAGGGCAGAGTCCCAGTTCCGTGATGTCAATCTTGTACCAAATTTCAGCGGGCATTATTTTCTACAGGAAATGAAATGTTAGAGTGTTTCAAATCTAGAACAGGGCTGGGTAAACGGCATAACTTTTGTTGTTGTTGTTGTTCTGATTGGTGTGAAATGTTGGGCTGCTTCTCCTGCAAGGTGAATCGGAAAGTCTCGCTAGAAATGTGGCTTCCGCCACCGCTTGGAGGGGAGAGTGTGATTTGTTTGCCAAAGGCCCTGGTAGCCTTCAATCTGTCAAAACGTTGCAAGCTGGGAGCAGTTTGCCAAAGCAAACTATCAAAGTGGAATAACACACGAGTCGCACACACACAGACACGCACATGCTCTCCCATTCCCCAAACATTAATTTTGAATTGGGTCAGGAGGAGCAAGAGTTTGGGCCAGATTGTCAGTGTTTTAAAGAGCTGTGGGCACAGCTATGGACTAGCAATTAGACAGGGATGTGGGAGCAGGCTGAGGTGTCCTAAAACGGAGTCTACAGAGTAGGGGTGGGAACCTTACAGCCCTTGGCCGAGTTTCATCTGGCCCCTGGGGTTATATATTGCTCTGGCTGGTGTGATTGCAGCCCAAAGAATAATTTCCCCTCTGGGGGAATTTATTCTATTCCATTCAGAGCAGAGCCCATTTACTAACTAAGGTTTTATTCCAGCAAGAATTTTATTGGGTATCCCTATGCATTTTAGCCTCACTGGGGCCCAGCTTGATGAAGAGAAGAAGCATCTGAACATCTGAACATAACTTGCGTAGCATTTTTGCAACAAAAGCACCAACAAACATTCTGCTGCCAGACCTTGTGTAAATCCTATGGGGATGAATTTTTGGAAAGTCACGTAGAGACTCAAAAGCACACTGATTCTTATAAATCCCTCATAAAAGAGCTTTGCAAAGCTCCCAAAGTTACTTTGGACATTTTGAAATCCATTAATCCACTCCCTTTCCACTTATCTTGAAATTTCACAGGTCATAAGAGGATGAAGCCTCATTCATTAAATCAATGCTCTTCCTATGTAGCAGATACTTTCCGAGGTGCTGGGAGATAAAGGAGTAACAAAACAGACTCCCTGATCTCATGGACCTTATATCCTAGTGGGCAGAGGAAGAAATTTAAGTGAATAAAGACATCCTATGTGAAATGGAAAGTGCTATGGAGAAAGAGAAGTAGGCTGGGCTGGGAGAGGAAGTCCTGTTTTATGTAGGGTCAGGGAAGCCTTATGGAGAAGAGACACCTTTGGGCAGACACCTGAACGTGGGGAGGGAAGGAGCTGTAACCATATCTGGGAATAGAGTTGACCAGGCAACCCTGGAATGCAGTCCCTCCAAGACAACAGGAAACCTAGAATTTTCCCTTCTCCCATCTTTCACTCCCTCTCCCACTCCAAGTCCCCCGACTGTTATGGAAGTGCAGCCTGGGATGAGTGGTTATGCAAAACGGCTCCTGATTGCATTACACATATGTGGCTTAGGTGTGTGCCAAGAACTTTGAGGGGCTGAGGTATAACGCATTTCTGGAGCTGCTGTTTGTTTTCTTAACAAAACCACACCAATCTGGTTTTCTTTTTAAATGAGTAAACAGTGCCAGAATGTGTTACAAATGATTCAGATTTGTAGGCACGGCTTCATAAGGTGCTTTCTTGCGCATGAACTCGTTTGAGGTAGGCAGGGCGGGTTCTATTATTCCCATGTTACCGATGAAGAAACTGAGGTGCAGAGGTGCTTTGCCCAAGGTCATGTAACCAAGGAGCATAAGGTTGTATCCAGTAAGGATACAACTAGAAAAATAACTGTTCTTCTCCCATCACTGTGTTCACACCCACTCCTTTTGATACCCCTGCCCCGTGCCTGGAAGACAGCTTAGGCAGTTTTCTGGTCCATTGCAGGCTTAATGAGCAGTCTCTCTTTCAAGTATCAAAAGGCCCCAAAAGATGTGTGTATGTGAGGGAGGGGGTAGCTTTAATGGTTGAATGCCCATCCTTCTAGAAGTTTTAGTTTTCCTTCAGTACCTTTAGTTTTTGTTTTCCTTGAGTACTTTTTGGGTGAATCTAAGGCATCAGTAACTTCACCATCCAGGCGTGCACCCTTAGCCCCCTGTGTGCCGAGCAGCACAGATCCGTGTGCCTGTGCTTTGGACAGTACAGAGAGAGAACATTTCCATTGTTGTAGAAAGTTCTCTTGGACAGCACTGGCCTAGAGCCTCAGCAAGTTTTAAATCATTCTTTGATTCTTTTCACCACTAATTTTATATTTTTCTGAATAGATTCCTTACTTGGAAGGATTTCATGTACAGATATGCTACATTAAAAGAAAGTCTAGTCAGATATAAAACCTTCAGTCTCTCATCCAATTTAAAGCTCCTTTCTTCCCCCCATACTGGGCCTGGTCTGGCCTCAGACCCCTGTAGTGGGAAGAGAGGGGTTGGCTGCTTCTTCACACTCCTAGTTCCCCTCTGTGCCCCGCTCCCTCTGGTCCTCATTAGTTCCTCCAGGACAGAGCAGGGGAGGGGACAGATAGCTGGGCAAAGAGGATCTCAATAGCATCGGTGCCCGCTGTCATCTGGTGTTGCTGTCCTGGCTTGGCCGGTGTTATGTTGTGGATTCTCCTCTCAGGGCCCTTTGGTTGGTCCTTTGGAGAACCTCCCCCTCACCGGGATCTCCTGTTGCTCATGCCCTGGTTCAGGCTGTGCGAGAACTGGCTGCCTCTTTATCTCGCCTCCCCCAGCTCCCGGCCCCCATGGGTACGCACCACACATCACCCGTCTTTTGGTGAGGTCCTTGCCAGAGGACTTGAGTCCTGCTTTCCATGGGAGAACCCCAGCTTTCCTTGCCCCTTTAAGCTCCAGGTATGTAGGCTGCTCCCACCCCCCCAGCCCTCTCACACTGCTCCGCCCTCCTAGACACTCCAGCCAGGTTTTGGCCTTTAAATACGTTTCAGGGGAAAATCAAGCACCGCTCCTTATACCCCAAACCCAGGGGGTCCAGATCAATCTCTCGAATGGTAGCCCTCCTTGTTTGGCTGGGAAGAGTTCCAACTTTTCCTCCCCTAAGGGGAGTGAAGGGGCTGTGCTCAGCATTCCTGCATCCCTAGCAAACTTCTCCCATTCACCAGCCCACACCCTGCTCCTTGCTCAGCCTGAAGGTTTAGGGTGAGGGGCTGCGGGACAGGATGGGTGGGGGCAGAGGGAGGCACCTCCGTTTCTGGTCCTGAGTACACGGTGCAGCCCTTCTCTTTGGAACGTGTGTGTATGTCATCCCGTTGGTTCTTAGCTTTGGGACTTCAGTGCAAATCTAAGACAGCAACAAAAAGGATGCATGGAACACCTTGGTACATATCCCTTCCCCCTGCTTCTTGTCCCACCACACGGTCTTTAACCAGTCCGGCCACATCCATTCTGTGTGTTCTGCTAGGACCGGTCTCATTTTCAGGCACAGTGAGGGTTAGGGTGGAATTCAGGGTTCTCAGAGATGGTGGGAGCTTTTCTAGCTCCACAGGCCTTACCCCCCAGATTCAGACAGGTATTCCTCATGCCCGCCTCTACACAGTGAGTTTTCCTTTGGACAAGGGCATGTTTCACATCTCTCAGTTATGTTAGAGGCCTCAAAAAGGTTGAGAAGCACTGGGTTACCTAACTGCCCTCAGGGTTAAACCCTTAAAAGAAGGATTCAAGGGCTTCCCTGCTGGCGCAGTGGTTGAGACAGATGGGAATGGCGGAGTTGGGATTCTGGCCTCGATGTGTTTGAATCCAAAGCTTCACGCTCTCCCAGCATACCCTGCTGTCTCGGGGCCAGCTGGTTCCTATTTCTACACCTTCTCTTTATTTGATGACAAGCCTTAATCAGGGCTGGTGACAGTGGGGCTTAACACAGCTAATCCCACCCATGGAGAACATATCTGACACTAAAAGCCCAAGGACGGGCAGAGGAATGGTTCCGAGGAAAGCCTGGAATGAGGGAGAGGAACTTACCTGGGAGAAGCTGCCCCCCTTCTGGCCTGACCTTACCACCTCCACGAGGACCAAGCATGCACGAGCACTTACTCTGTGCCGGGGCACGGTGTGTTATCTGATACAGGCCTCCCCAGACCTCCAGCCAGCTTCTGTGGTATCCCCATCTTACAAGGGAGGAGACTGAGGCTCAAAGAGGTTCAATGTCCTGACTTGGAAACCTTGCCGGTAAGCAGTAAAGTGGGGTTTGATCCCAGGTCTGCCTCGTGCCACAGCCCCGCCCGCAGCTGTCTCCTCTCCTGCGGGGCCCTTTGCATCTTCACTGGGTCACATCCAGGGCCTGGGTTGCACTGTGCTCTCCCTTCCAGTGACGAGATGGAGATGCGCCTTCTGCTGGACACTGCTGCCTGGAACATACTCACAGCCCTGCCTGTTGCTGTTTTTCTTTCTCAGTGTCCTGGGTTCCCTCCTGCTGCTTGGATTCCAGCTCGTCTGCCCACAGCCCTCCACTGAACACAGAAAGGTAAGCCACGGCCGTTCAGAGGCTTTCCTTCTCTGCCCGGGGGCCTGGGGTTGGACCAGTCATCACCGCCCTGAGCTTTGTTCTATGTGGAGTTGAGTCACCGCTGATTCTCAGAGGAAGCACCATTCGTAGGATGTTCACCAGTCTTCCTATCCTTCCGAAGTTCTTGATCTTCAAAATGAAGCTGGTGCCCAGAGTCAGTCTCTGATCCGAAAGCAGTGCTGGCTTTGTAGCCCATGTCCATTAGAGTGGGGCGGTTAAGGAGAGATGAGCGAGCAGACTCTACCTCCCCTAGGGGTGGAGGAGCTTCGGCGGAGCCTTTACCCCCGCTAGGGGCACCTCAGGGGGATGCGTGGGGATGGTTAGAGACAGAGCTGCAGCTAAAGCTGAGGCTGTAGCCATGTAAGAGCGCCCCTTGGAGGGAGCCATCCATGATCTTCGGTTAGAAGGACACAGCAGCCAGTGGCCAGGCAGGGGGCGGGGAGCAGGGAAATAAGAACCCGGCCCTCTTTTACCTCCTCCCCTCCATCTCCTGCTGGTGACTCCCTAAACCTGAATCCAACCAAAGGACAGAAGACAGAAAACTCCCTTAATGCAGTGCCCAAAGGCCAGCCTCCTGGGCAACAGGGCTGGGTGGAGAAGGGTGGACAGAGCATCTGGAGGGACAAACGGACAGTAGCAGGCATGCTTCCCTTCAGGCTCTGTGTGTTTCATAGTAAAGGAATTATTCACTGCTGCCTAAACAAGCCCAATGCCGTCCTGCAACAGAGCACTTGTGTGATTAATATTTCCTGAGAAACAGATGCATGATATGACTTTGGGAGGGTCCCTAAAATCCCTTTCTCCTACCTAGGGACTCCTTATGTCTACAGGTAATGAAATGCAGATACTTCTGAGAGGACTGATAGGTCAGTCATTTGTATCTAACTGTGACTGAGTTGGTTGGAACCTTTCCTAGAGGGGCTTTTCATAGGAGAAGTCCAGGAGAGAAGGGGGGCAAGAAAAGAGTAGGTGTACAGGTTTGCCTAGATATGCACCTTCTTGGGAGAAGTTCTTGATGTTCTTGTCTGATTAGTCTGATTTATCTTAGGTCTGTGGATTATGTTCTGACTTTGTCTTTCTGGGCCAGATGTGAACCTGTATTGTGTCGTGTCCCCCATTAGGGTGTCAGCTCCATGAAGGTGGAATCTTACCTGTCTTGTTCACTCCCCAATTTCCACCTCCTGGAATACAGCCTGGCCTGTTGTAGGTGCTCAATAAAATACTTGCCGAAAGACTGACTGAATGAATGGAAAACCTGGCCAAGATCTAAGCATCATTTTGTTGGAGTCACTTGGCAATTTACACCCCTTTTACTGTACTGCATCATCCCCATTCATGATTTCAAGAGTCAGAGAGGACAACTATGATAGATTGAATGTTTGTGTCCTCCCTGCCCCCCAGGTTGGTGTGTTGAAACCTAAACCCCTGTATGATGGTATTCGGAGGTGGGACCTTTGGGAGGTGATTAGGTGATGGAGTGGGGTCCTCATGAATGGGATTAGTGCCCTTGTTAGCGTTATGGGAGAGCTTGCTGCCCCACCATGTGAGGATGCAAGGAGAAGTCTGCACCCCGGAGGTCGGCACTGTGCTGGCACTCTGACCTCGGACATCTAGACTTCAGAACTGTGAGAAATCAATTTCTGTTCTGTATAAGCCACTCAGTCTATGATATTCTGTTTTAGCAGCTCAAACGGACTAAGACGAAAATCGGCACTGAGAAGTGGTGGTGCTGCTATAACAAATACCTAAAACGTGGAAGTGGCATTGGAATTGGGTAATGGGTAGAGGCTGGAGGAGTTTTGAAGTGCATGTTAGAAAAAGCCTATGTTGCCATGAATGGACTTTTAAAGGCGATTCGGGTGAGAGCTGAGAAAGAAAAGAGGGGAGCTCAATCTTCCCAGAGAATACCTAAGCAATCCCGAATGAAATATTGGTAGAAATATAGAGGTTAAAGGCCATTCTGATGGGGTCTCAGATGGAAGTGAGGAACACGTTATTGGAAACTGGAGGAAAGGCTCTGCTTGTTATAAAGTGGCAGAGAACTTGGCTTGTTTCTGTTCTGGTGTTTTGTGGCAGGTAGAACTTGCAAGTGATGAAATTAGATATTTAGCCAAAGAAATCTAAGCAAAGTGTTGAAGGAGTGACCTGGTTTCTCTTGACTGCTCATAGTAAAAAGTGAGAAGAGAAAAATGACTTAAAGATGGAACTGTTAACTGGAAAGGAAGCAGAACACAGAACTTAAAGATTTTGGAAAATCTTCAGCAGATCCGTATTGAAAAGATTGAGAAAGCCTGTCCAGGGAAGGATACTACGGGTGTGGTTGAGAGACTGTTTGATAAGGCAATTAGTCAGTTATCTTGACCGACGCCAGGAGCTATTTATTGTCCAGGACAGTGGAAGAATGCAAAGGGGGCTGCAGTGCCTTCCAGATCTGGCTCATCTCTGCACCACCTCGCTTGGTGGTTTCCACTCCCCACACTCACTCCGAGCTCCTCAGCTGCGCCAGGAGCTGCTCCAGTGGCCCGGGGAAGGGTGTGGGCTGTGCCCAGCAGAGCCTTGGGGGCATGACTGCCTCCACCCAGATTTCAAAGGACAAGGCTTGAGCCCAGGTCCCAGGACCCCAACCTTGGAGAACCACAGTGGGGGCAGCGCAGCCTGGAAATTTGGGGCCCCAACCCGTGCAGGTAGGACCATGGGCCCAGTGGGCCTGGAAGGCAGAGCATGGAGCCAAAGAGGATTATTCTTAAGCCTTTATGGAATTTCCCCGGGTGGGATTTGGACTTTCTTCTTTCCTCGTTCTCCCATTTGGAATGGGAGTGTCTCTCCTGTGCCTGTCTTACCATTGTATTTTGGAAGCACATAACATGTTTGATGTCACATATTCACAGCTGGAGAGCAATCTGCTTCAGGAAGAATCATACCTTGAGTCTCACCTATATCTGATTTAGGTGACATTTAGATGAGACTCTGGGCCTAGAGTTTAATAATGATGCTGGAACCAGTTAAGACTTTCTGGGTTATTGGGATGGAATGAATGTATTTTGCTTGCAAGAAGGGTGTGAATTATGGGGGCCCAGGGATGGAATGCTATAGACCAAATGTGTCCCCACAAATTCATTTGTTGAAACTTAATCCCCAGTGTGATGATATTTGGAGGTGGAGCCTTTGGGAGGTGATTAGGTCAGGAGGGGATAAATGCCCTTATAAAAAAGGTCCCAGAGGGATCTCTAACCTCCTCTGCTATGTGAGGACACAGGGAGAACATTGCTGTCAATGAACCAGGAAACATGTTCTCCTCAGACACCAAATCCACAGGCCCCTTAATCTTGGACATCCCAGACTCCAAAATTGTGAAAAATAAATTTAAGTTTTCCATAAACCACACAGTCTATAGTATTTTTGTTATAGCAGCTGGATCAGACTAAGACAGCTGTCTGTTTTCATTATTATGTTGTATTATTTATTAGTGTTCAGGGTTAATCAGGGTTGTTAATCCTAATAGTTGAATCAATCTACCAGTGTTCTTTTTATTTTTTGCTGTTATTCAAATAGACCATCATACCTGAAAATGTTTTATAAATGGTCAATTTACTTTGCTGTTTCTCTTAATTTTTCAAGTTAGCCTGAATGATATAAATGTAGCCTGAACAAAAGGTTCACAAAAAGTTATTGCCTCCATATTTCTTTCTTTTTCTTTTTCTTAATGATGTTTATTCTTTTTACCAAGCTGCACCATAATGTGCTTGGTAAGCCTCCATATTTCTTAAAGTATTTGTTCTGAGAAATTTTTAAAAATGATTTATGAATGACTTTAGAATGTTGAATTTAAAAATTGAGCGAAAAGTTTCACATCGTGGTGTATGGTTCCTCCTTGTCAAATTATTAAAAACTTTGCAGTAGAAAGTTAAATTAAATACATTATTTTTTCAAAATAATGTATAGATTCCTTTACTTGGAAAACATGCATTTTAGGACAGTTCTTCAATATAATTATATACATTTTAGCTGCCAGGATCATTGTCATTGTCATTCACCCCAGAGAAGAAAAGACTCAGTGCTTTCTTGGGTGGTGAGTTTCTTCTTGACATTCTATTGGAGCTCTGTGGAGCTGTGACTGTCATCCTGCCTGGCTATATCCCCCAAATCCTGGAGCACAAGCAGTACTGGCAGTAGTAGCATCCATTTATTTCTGCAACATAAGAAATAAGGAGATACTTATTAAAACAGGGGTTGGAAATGTTTTTCCATAAATGACCGGTTGTGACTATTTTAGGCTTTCTGGGCTACAAAGTCTCTGTCACAACTAGTCAGCTCTGCTTTTGTAGCACAAAAGCAGCAATAGATAACATGTAAATAAATGTACATGGCTGTGTTCCAATGAAACTTTATTTACAAAAAACTGGATTGGCCCCATGGCCCGCCATTTGCTAGGCAGTGCTCTAAAGTCGGGTAGAGAGAGGTTAACTGTAATTACTGTATATGTGTTTTGAAGTTGGAAATTGTCTCCTCCTGGACCTTAAGGAACAAAAAGGATTTGAGAGAAAAAAAAAAGTATATTTTTTCATTAAAACCTAAGAATTATGATTGCTATCCAATTGTTTTCATTACTTAGATAAATCATAATTGAATTCCTGCTGACTGTTTTGTGGCAAGGTCCACTCTCAATCTGTAGTAGAGAGCAGCAGCAAGAATTAGAAAACCATTTATGGTAAATTCTTAAGGGACAGCATTACTGATTTGTGCAAACTGTAGTTTAGTATGCGTATGAAAACTACCCTCTAAAATACATCTTTTTCTTTCTCATTTATTATAGCGTGTCCAACTTTAGCATATGGAAGCATTTCTACAGTGTAAGTTATTCTGAGGAAAAGACATAATTTGTAAATGCTGTCAAGTAAACTATGCATTTCTAAATGCTGCTTGGGTGACTGCATACATCTCAGTAAAAACTGTCCCAT